TAAGCAAATGTGTTATGAAACTATGGTGATTAGCTGAAGTTAATAACTTTCTGGGTAAGTGGTCATAAAGGACTTGATACGGAAATGATTTGGGAAGTTTCAGTCAGTCAATCAGTCAGCTACAACGTAGGACCAGGCACATATATGCATCGGTCCAAGTTGCCATACTTCATTAACACAACAAGATGGACACCGGATTCATAAAAGTAGTTAATTCAGAGGTGGTAATATATAAAAAAAAGATTGCAATAAGGATATAGTACAGGAAGAAAGAATTAGTTAGTAGAAAGAAAGATATGAAGCGATTTTAATCTCTTCGTTTAAGGGAAGATTTAGAGTGTATACACTGACGCCATTGTGATCGATTCTGAGCCATGTCACCAAGAGTTTCCAACCATTGGTTACGGCAGTCAAGCGGACCCCAACCAAGTAGTCTGTATCTACCAACATGGCTCACGCTAGAAGTTAGTGACTTCAAGCCCTGATGCCACTTTTTGGTTTGGCCGCCCCTAACTTTCTTCCAACTATCCCAAACGCCGGTTAGCATTACACTTCGTGGTAATCGGTGTTCGGGCATACGTAGCATGTGGCCCAACCATCTCAGTCGAAGATTCACAACCTCATCGACTGATTTACCATCCTCCCCTAATACCCTGGGTCTAACCTCACTATTACTTACCCGGTGATCCCAGCAGACGCCAGCAATATTTCTGAGGCATCTGTGGTTAAATACTAGTAACTTACGAGCGTCTTCCAATCTTAATGGTCATGTTTCGCTACCGTAAATTAAAACAGAACGGACTGTTGCGCAGTATACTCGTCCTTTTATTGATAGACAGATATCTCGCCTTCGCCAAAGGTGACATAAGTTGGCAAAAGCCAAACGAGCTTTTCGAATCCGTGCTGAGATTTCGTCCGATACCAACCCATTAGGGCTGATCAGACTTCCAAGATAAGTGAAGTTGTCAACGCGTTCGACTACTTCACTCCCTATCCTTAGTTCAGGTGTTGACGCAGACCAGTCCTGAAGCAACAACTTGCATTCAGAGGGAGAGAAGCGCATTCCAAACATTCTGACATTGTTGCTTAGTGCTACCAAAAGACTCAGCATTTAGTCAGCGTCTTCACCAAACGGGACTATGTCATCTGCGTATTCTAAGTCGACAAGTGGACCTCATGGTAAGAGATCAGTGCCCGAAAATTCGTTCGGCGAGAACGTTATTTCCAGCAGTAGGTCTATGATAAAGTTAAACAAAAATGGAGAAAGTGGACAGCCTTAACGGACACCACTTGAGGTTGCAAAAGCAGATGACAGTTCGCCATAAGCTCTGACTCGATTGGTAGTGTTCGAGTAAAGAGCCTTCACAAGGTTTATGTACTTCTGAGGTACGCCTTTCAATGACAGACACTGCCACAGAATCTCGCCGTCTACCGAGTCAAATGCTGCTTTTAAGTCAAGAAAGACCACCATTGTCGGACGCCGATAAGTATGCCTATGTTCTAGAACCTGACGAATGGTGAATATGTGGTCGATGCAGCCACGACCAGGTCTGAAGCCAGCTTGATTCTCTCGTGTTTGCAGTTCACTAGTCTTAGTTAAGCGTCTGATAATTATCGAGGCCAATATTTTAGATACTATATTAGTTAAACTAATCCCTCTATGTTTGTCACAGGATGATTTTAACCCTACCTTATATATTGTGACGATAAGTGATTGTGACCAGTCAGATGGAATAACGTCTAACTCCCAGATTTTAGCTAAAATATTAGTCAACGTAATCGCTAAAATTGGACCACCATCCTTAAAGACTTCTGGAGCCAATCCATCTGGACCAGCTGCCTTTCCTCGTTTCAGATTAACTATAGCCTTTTGAACTTCTGCTAGAGTTGGGGGACCTACTTCAATGTTCCATTCACACTGTCTGGGAATGGAAGGTAGTTGTAGAGTAGCTGAAGGCCAGCTGAACTGTTCTCTGAAATGTTCCGCCCACCGTTCTAAACGTCTGGACTGAGAGCAGATGAGGGTGTCGTCTTTTTCGGAAATAGTCTGACTTATTCTTCATTTATTAATTCCAGTTTCTTTTATTAGTCTGTGTTCCCTATAGCCGCCGCTTTTTCCATCTCTTTTGCTTTCATTGCCCACCACTGCTCACGGTCGTTTCTTAGACTTTTTCTTAACCTAGATCTGATTTGTTTCCGCTCTTCATCGTGTTCAGAACCCGATGGGATGAGTTTACGAGAATCCATCAGTTCAATAGACCTTGAGAAAATCCATTGGTTCTTTGTAACCCTGTGGTTTAAATCACTAATAGGTGTCACTGCTGTTTCCACAGCTGTTTGTATATCTTTCTAAGCAACATCTGGGTCAACCTCGTTTTCAGAACTACCTAATTGTGACCTCAGTTGTTCCTGGAACCTACTTTTGGTTTTCTCGCTGCTCAATTCCGTTCTAACGGGTCTTTTTAATGTGGCTTTTTTGCGTCCAGTGAGGCGCGAGCAGATGCGTGCCCGTATTAGGGCGTGGTCGAAGTCCAAGCAGGTATTCCAGAATGAGCGACAATCTTCTACCGACCCTCTCCAACGATGACTGATGGCAATATGATCTATTCGAGTTCATCGTTGGTTTGGTGTAGGGGGTCGCCATGTTAGACGATGTCTCTCCTTATGCTTGAAATTTGTGTTTGCTAAAACTAAGCGATTGTCTGAGCACAGTTGCAGCAGACGGTCGCCGTTATTTGTTCGCTGTGCCGGAATGCTAAAATATTCACCTAAATGCCTTTCTGTTTGGTTTAAGCTACCTATCTGAGCATTAAAGTCACCCCCTATGAGTACTATGTCTGAGCGTTTAGCTTTCTGAAGAATTTCAGAAAGCTTTCTGTAAAATTCATCTTTCACTTCATCTGAGCTGCAGTCGGTGGGAGCGTAGGCAGAAACGACAAAAAGGCAACGACGTGTGTCCCTATCCTTCCGAGTTCTTACGGAGCCGTCTAGCCGAACAGCACATAAACGACTGTTAATGGGGATCCACTCTAGCAGTGCTTGTTCCGCCCTCATGCTTAGTGCTATGCCTACTCCTGCCAGTCCACGAAAGCTGGCCATCGCGTCACCAGATAAACGGAGCGCGTACCTCGTTGGCTCTCCATGTTGCCGAGGTGAGGTCAAGTGACGGAGGTTGATTAGGAATACATTGGTCTTGAGTGCTGTTAGAGGTATGAGGGCGGTTATCACTTCCCGGTTGCTCACACCGAGGAAGGGTTGTTCTGGAGGTGCCTGAAAAGGAAATTGGATTAGAGGTGGTCTTGGTGACCTGGGAGCGTGACCGCATTGCCTAAGGGACAACTGCTTGAGGTCGGTCACACACGACCTTTTTATGGGTAATTTTTGTCTTAGCTCCGTACTTGTTGAGACCTTACCGCCGGAGACGGAAATCCGTGAGGTAAGGTGAGGTGTGCATTTTTAGGGTCGACCTTTTCTAACCCCACCCCTCCTTGTGGGAAGGCAGCATCGCTGTCATGCTGGTTGTCTGAAGGAAACACCTTACTGCCGTCACACCTCTGTACAGTCAGCAGTACGACTTCGCCTTCGGACCTTGGGTTTGTTGCTTTTAGTCTTACCGCACTTCAACCGACCTGTCTGACATGGTAGGACCTTGAGGAACGGTTGTTCCAGCCAGTGTAGCTCGGTTGCTTCATCACGATAGGCAAGCCCGACCACCACGTCAAGGTAGCAACAACGGTCGGGATTTGGTAAGTTTAAATGATAATGACTGATCCATCAACCAGATAGTTATAAGCAGCATGAAACCTGACAGATATGTGCATCGTTTCAAGTTGTTATATCATATCAACACAGCTCGATAAAGTTATCAAGACAGATGCAAGAGTAGTAGAGGTAATAATAACCGCATCAGTGATTATGAAACGATGCAAGATTTAACCCAAGAAAAAAGAATGAATTTGTAAAATAAAAAGCATCAGAAAACTTTAGAACTCATGATCTAAGGAAAGACTGAGACAGAATTCATCATTTCCTCTGCAATACATTGTAAGCCATGCCACTCAACGTTTTCAAATGCCCTGATACGACTGAGGTTGGGGGGAGTTCACTATTTTTCTCGAAATGATTTCACATGGCCAGGCGTATACAGCCACCATCAGAGAAGTCCTACTCACAGCCTTCTCGTGGCGAGGGCGTTGTTTACGAAATTGAGAGGACGAAAAGAGGATATCAGGTTCTTTAACTGGGTTGGTGGGTACAAATGATCCACCTAGGGGAGGAGGAAAATCCTGATTCCAAACCAATAGTGCACATGAGCTTCAGGATCCTGAGGGGACAAATGACGTATGAACCTATTGTTGATCACCAGCCAACATGGGACTGCATCTCCTAAAGTTGGTTCACTGCCTTGTGGATTAGAACTTTAATCAAAGGCTCGTGTAGTGGCCCCTTAAGAAAACTAGCTGCTTCGATTTGAACACCCGACCAGTATTTCAGCCCCCACATAAACCGAATGATAGAGTGTAAGACATATTTATTTCCTACTTCCTTGTCCCAGCGTTTATGTGTTTAAATAAATGAATAAAACGGCATCTCAGTAGTAAGTACCAAATCGGTTAAGTATTCTGAAGATATAAGAGTTTGCACGTTAAAATGTTAGGGCAAGATTGATCTGAACAACATATGAATATCTGACCATCACTCACCTCGACTTTCAGTGTTCACAATGCACAAGTAAGGAACCATTCAATCTTAAATCCCAACGTTCCATCACATATCTTTTCACATCGTCTTCTACAACCATATTGTCAGTACGTATGTTCATTTCGACATACAGATGAAGAAATGAGAATTAGAGAAGGCAGATATATCTACTCAAAATACTACCCATTATATAAGCTAGTATAGCTCAGAATAGTCGACAGTCATTGCAACAAGGTGACAACTATTGGATAAAATAATAATAGTACAGAAGTACACACAAGAGATATTAATTCTGATTAGGGTATGATATTCGCTTGGTGATCTAACTTACATAAATAGCCTAAGAACTATTTATTGGGAATTGTGATTGCAGTGTAATCAGTAAGAGATAAGTTTATTTCATTGCAAAAATGATGAATGGATAGACAAGAATCAAATTTATGACTACTATAGAATTAGTAAAACAAAAAGCATTAACTTTTCACCTCCCATCTTTGTATTAGCTTATCCAATAGACTATAGGATGGTAGAAAACACAATACACCACCAGGTACTAAACGACACGCATTGACAACAACCGCACCAATCTCATCTTGAAATGTATAGGTATTCTGGTGCTGATAGGTAGCACAAAGTCGTGTACCGTTTGGACCGTGTGATAATGTTGTTACTAACAGACGACTATTTGAAATGACGTGATTTGCTTCTAAACGTAATGGAAATTGTACATTTAGTTCAGCTTCAAGTGAATCCAATGGTGATAGAGTACCGCTCATTAGGATTACACAATGCGCCATTGATGCTAACTGTGAAAACACTACAGATGGATTTAAACACCAGAAATTTAGGGATAATTCTTTGTTTTCCACAAAACGAGGCTGTAAAGTAGAGGAAACGATGAAAAGAATTCGATAGAGCCACTTTCCAAAATTGGTGAAATAATAACAGATCAACAATAAGTTTGTGTCATGTATGGAGTCCATCTAGTGAACGTATTAAGAACTAAAGAGCTACCGAACAGTTGTTTCGGTCTGAACAGAGGCTCCTCAGTAATGGGTATTATAGATATCGAACGAATAAAACTTAATAGTAAACAAGTTATTATCAATTCACCAAGTCTAAAGACAATTATTAACACATTCCCAATTTCAGTACATTCACAATACTGCCAGATATCCGTATGTAATGCAATCGAATTCCCAGATGAACACAGGGGAAATCATCTACTCTGATACAAATTAATATTCATATTTGTTAGTTTTATTCGTCCTATCCATCTTTAAGGACAACATGAAAGAAAACTCCATCTAGTGTCCAACTTAAACAAATCCCATCCAGTGAAAATGAACGTCCATATTGTTTACACTAAATCGGTGTCAAATTTCGCTTCCCAAGTGATGGAAGGTAGCAAACGTTCCTACTCTCTCTGTATGACAAGGGAGTTCTAATTAAACTGAGTGTGATAGCAGATACTAAAAACTTAAATCAGCAGATGGAAAGTTCACCTAGGAAACTGTAAAATCATGTTTTAAACCAATATAGTACAAGGTTTATAGAACTATGAGAAAAAGGATTGTGTACAAACTGATTCTGATGACTAATTACTATGAGGTTGCATCTCCTAACCCTCACCAAACTACTACCTTGTTCATTAAATCCTCAAGCTGAAGAGTTGGGCAGTAATCTTCTAATAACAATAACTGCTTTAGCTTGTGTACACAGGCTCTCCGACAAACCTAACCAATGAAGGGAATGTACTGATATATTTGATGGAAGCATAATCAAAATGTTTACAGTGCTATTTTAATATATTTAATTAATATTACATGTTTTCCAGGAAACCTGAACATTCAACTGCAGTTTCCTTCGCCAATTCGTTGTGTAAATTATGGAATACCATGCAAACTGCATTTGTGACTATATTCCATTCACTACTAAACAGCTTTCCTCAAAATTCAGTAACAAAGTTATTTTTCCATGAATAATCATAGCACAAAAATATATGAACTAGAAAATTCTATATTAGATACTTAGTCAACCACATGTCCAGATGACAAGTCTCATCATGTGAGACGAAATGTACTTCTTGGGATTTCACTTTTAGTCACATACTGAATATACCATACGTCGATTATTTAAGAAATCACTAGAATTGCCGGTCGCTTTTCGAGGAGATCATGTATGCGTCTGATGAAAATCTACGTATAAACCACGCTCATCATTTATATCCCTAAACATAAAACCATAACAGCACACAAAATTATCTTAAATACTTTCAAGTGTTTCTTGGTAATCCATGCATCAATTTTCGATTCAGTGAACTTGTTATGATCCGTAATTGATTCTTTAGTCAGTTGCTTCTCATATCCCACTGTTTCGACAAGAACAACGCGATAATCTGACAAATGGCACATATTGTCCCTAAATAGAAAAATGTTGCTAGTGTAAAAATTAACAATCGATATATATTTAGATGGTAGTTGGAGGTAGTCAACAGGTTACCCTGGACCCGGGTTTCGTGGTACTTGGCACTCGTCAGCAAGGTGTACCTGTAATCTTGAGGGAACCGGTGCTCCGTGGCGGATTCGATCTCGTGTCACCCAGTTTCACAGTCAGAGACGTTACCACTGAGCTATCCAAGCCGTGACTAACCTCCTGTAGGACTGAGATGTAATCACAATTGATTGATCACTGGGTGGTGATCAATGTCGTGCTTGTCTAGTCCTTATTAGTGCAGATCGAAAGCTATCGATCATGTTGCAATGTGGCCACCAGGCTAGGTGACTCGACACTGCGGGCACTATGTATTGATATTTAGATGGTAGTTGGAGGTAGTCCACTGGAAACCCTGGACCTGGGTTTCGTGCTACCACCCAGTGATCAATCAATTGTGAATCGATATATATGTATACATATATATGTGAAAAGTCAGAACCATGGCACTTAACGTCTTTGACTAGGAAGTCTTCACCGAGAGTGGTTGTCATGCACGTGTATCTTGTAGCGTCAATAGATCAATATTATTTAAGTATATAGAACATGACTATTGGTTCAGAATGGTTGGAGGAGTTCCCCAGTTGAAACGGCTTGAAAAAAGTCAGCGCAGAATCATGGGGATCTTTGAAAATATACAATATGTGTACAATCAGACGCACAGGACTTCTAACTGAAATCAAAGTTCTTCATGATGGCGGTTTAATGACCTGAAGGCACCTTCTGAAAATGCTCAGATGCCGCTGTTAGCACCGTATCCTTTATCGTTTTCAACGAACTTTTGGGTTTGCTTTATGTTGATGAAATATGGAATTAAGCTGATTAATTTTTCGTATTGTGTATTCTCAGTATTAGAATTAGTAAAATTTTAGTTCATTCCCGCCCTTTAGACTACGTCATTTATGAAAGTATATGGTACTAAAGTACTTTTATAATCCTTCTTTATTTCATACTGAAGTTTATTGTGAAAAACGTTTTTATATGACGAATAAATGGTGAGATTAGTTTTTGAATTAACAATCAAAATGATGTTTCCTTGATGATGATTAGCTCGGAATTGAACCGGATTTACACACAACAGACTCCAATGAATAAGATCAGTGCAGTTCTGTTCAACATACCGAAAAGAAAACAAAAATGCAATAAAATTTAGCTTACTTACTAACTTACTTACGCCTGTTACTCCTCGTGGAGGAGCATAGGCTACTCACTAGTATTTTTCATCCAACCCTGTCCTGGACAATCTTTCCCAGCTGCTTTCAGTTGTTATTCATCCCTTTCATATCTTCTTCCATTTCTTGACGTAATTTGTTCTTTGGCCTTCCTCTTTTCTACTCCCCTTCAGGATTCCAAGTAAGGGCTTGCCTTATGATATAGTTTGAAGATTTGCGTAATGTATGTCCTATTCATTTCCATCGTCTTTTTCTAATTTCTTCTTCAGCTAGAAGCTGGTTTAATAAAATTTAGCGGATAAACTTAAATATTTATTGAAGCTGTTATAGTGTTTATTCTTGAGTAAAACACGACTAATGAACGTTGTAGATAATCTCAACTGAATATTGACTCCTTGAATTGTATATTTCAACAAAGTCTACATTTCCAAGTGGAGATAATATTACACACTCACATTTTTCACTTCCATCTTTCATCAACAATAAAGCAATCATAATCATTATTTTGTTTTACTATTTATGTGTAAAATAATCCTGATTACTTTTCTTGTTTTAGGCCAATGTGCCATATATTCAATTCATTTTATTGAAACATGCACACTTTGTTAAACTGATGTAGGAAGTTCACACGTACACAATCCAATAATGTTTGTCATTTGATAATTTTAGTACATTTTTGTTTAGAAAAAAAAAGTTATTTTCTTAATTGTAAATTTGGAATTCTGTTTAATCAACTATTACTATGTCTTTACATTAATACCTTGTGATTGTAATGAAATTATGCTGGGTTTTTCTAATGAAATAGGTTTATTGACTCAATGTTGAGTCACATTATTTATGTGAGTACTTATGAAATTCCCGAGTTAGATAAACCGAAGTGAAGACTGATCAACATGAGATCTGCATTTCCTGACATAATCACTGGTAGTAACCAGAAACCAAAATGTCAGATTGAAGGAACCTTTGGAATCATGAAGATCATATATAAGAACGTTGGATTCTGAGATAAGATCTTAGGACACTGATGATCTAGAAATTTGGAAAGGACCATTTATTCAACTGAGCTATGAATTAAATTGTCTAGTTAGTTGTGATTCATAGGTGTTCCAAGGATAAACTTCTGCTTTGGACCAACTCAATGTGTATCTCCACTTCACTTACCTTTATGGAGCTTGCCATGTTGTCCTCACAATACGTACTCTTTTCAAACATATATTAGATCTCTACTTAACATGATTATGTAAAGGCGAATTCTAGCCAGTCCGTTACTCTATTCTTCAACATGCCATCAACTCTGGCCATCTATATCCACTAGAATTTCCATCCTAATTATTCATAAACTTAAACTTATTGACTACAGATGAAGTTGATAAAGAAATTTTTCAACAGCAGAGTCTTCAATAATTCACCAATTTAAACTTGATCTCTGTGTTTGGAGGCTGTATACTCTATCGTTTTTTTTTCACAGTGATCCACAATCCTTTTCCATAATTCTTAATTGGTAATTTTAACACATGATCATCTGTTTTGTATATTTATCAAGTTGATAACTATCTTTTACAGATAGCCCTCTCATTTATCTGCCATTTATTTGTATTTTTATCTGGTAAATAAAATTTCAACACCAAGGTCAGGATTTTCAATACAAATGTCAAGACAATCCTACTGTATGTGGCAGAAACTTGGAGAACTACGAAAGCCATCATCCAGAAGATACAGATGTTTATTAACAGCTGTCTAAGCAAAATACTTCGGATCCGTTGGCCGGACACTGTTAGTAACAACCTACTGTGGGAAAGAACAAACCAGATCCCAGCGAAGGAAGAAATTAGGAAGAATCACTGGAAGTGGATAGGATACACATTGAGGAAAGCACCCAAATGCGTCACAAGACAAGCCTTCACATGGAATCCTCAAGACCAAAGGAGAAGAGGAAAACCGAAGAACACATTACGCCGGAAAATGGAGATAGACATAAGAAAAATGAACAAGAATAGGATGGAATTAGAAAAGAGGGTGGGGGACAGAGTGGGTTGGAGAATGCTGGTCGGTGGCCTATGCTCCATTAGGAGTAACAGGCGTAAGTAAGTAATTAAACAAGATTTATAACTTATTTTGGATTTCGTGAATATGTTGCGATACATTTGAGTTCATGAATAATAAAGACTTTCATTTGTGCGATCTATAAATATTTAATTAACATGAGAATTCAGATCAGATTTCTTGGAACATTCGATGAAACTGTGGCTATCATAAGGCTATAAAATTAGGTTTTTAAAATTCAGGTTTATTGATTTATTTGTTTGATATTAACTTAGCATGCGTCACCCGAAATAACATTGTGAAAGACTGAAGGATGGAAGTAGGGTGTAATCAAATGAATAAGTGAAGACTAAGAGGTATAATTCAGTCAAAGTACAACCAACAAAAAGTTTATCAGTTAAGGGACTTTCACTTTTATAATGCATTTTAAAGTAAAATACAGAAGGATCTCTATAAGTTTATGTTCTGAGCCATATCTGTACATCAATCCACTGAGTTGCAAACTCTTTTGAATCGACAGATCCCTGTCCCATAAAACCTCCCTTCATACCACTGTGCCAGGTCAAAAACTGACCACCTCTCTTCAGCACTATGTGGAATGTGCTTGGGTCACATTTATAACACATATTGAAGCCATTGAAGTTGGTATTCAAAGATGGCAACGTCGACTAATCATTACTCAAAGTGCTCGAATACGCATTGCCGAACTTTGACAATACTAACATAATGTTGGTACTGAATGTTAATAATCCTTTGTAGGCAACGATGATTTAACACAGAGAGTTGTCAAACGTTCTTAGCTCAGAGATGCCATGTTTCAAAAGCATAAATCAAAACTGCTCTCACTGTTATATCTGATCGTCGCTGATTGTTGCGTCGGAAAACGCTGATCAATTATACTCGGAACGAAGGGACATCCGCAATTCCCAAGACGCGAAAGTAAGAACACAAAGACTGGTATAAGTGAAGATTTATTAGCGCCAAAACACTATGACGACGACTCTAGTAGAAAGTACACTCATTTATATATTGATTGTACACACATTTTGATTAATAATTAGAATGTAATCATATATATGAAAAATACTTAGAGTTATAACAAATCACATACAGAGCATAGTCCATGCCAATGGAATACAAGAATATCGTATATTATACAGAATAAAATATCATACGAGAAAAGAAAACTAATACTACATTATGTAATCATTACATTGAATCAAAAAGGAAGTAATCTTGAACAAAACTCATAATGAGTAAATCAATCGAAAATTGACTTTTCTTTCCATCATATCACTCACCTAACCTTCTACAGTCAAACTAACGTCAAAGCGGAGCAAGGCGACCAAGTTCAGCATCAGCCACTCAAGCTTTGACTATGAGCATACTTATTTCATCTAACACGCTACTACCAGAACTCACATAGTTACTCGAATAAATGGATTTTTTTATTACTTCAGATGGCTCACTAACAACAGTAAATACAGACACAGGCTTATACCGGTCTTGTCAAAGTACTTTGCACTTAGAAGGTATAAAGAACGTGCCATGCTTACGGATACTGAATGCTAACGGATTAAGTTCAGTTTACATAAATTGTGTGTATCAATGTGAAAATGTTATCTATAAACTCAAGATCGAAAAGTCTTCCTCAGGATAACAGATCAGTATCTTCACCAATACTGTCGATAATCAAGTTCAAGAGG